TTGCCTTTGTCTCCCGTACTAATACAAGGTTTATGTTATCAATATTCAAATTCTCTGAAAATAAAAACACGACAGTTTTTTTGACTGAAATGCCAAATTTGCGAACTTCGTTTTTTTAAGGAACAATCAGTACTGAAATTAAAAACGTGCAGGCCCGATAATCTACATATGAAAGTCTGCCTTTGTCTCCCGTCCTCATACCAAGGTTACTGTTCTCAATATCAACTTCTCTGAAATAAAAACACGACAGTTTTTTTGCCTGCAATCTGAATCCCAATTTGCGAACTCTTCGTTTTTTTTAAGGGAACATCAGTAATGAAATTAACCACGTGCAGGAACAGATAATATAAATATGAAAGTCTGCCTTTGTCTCCCGTACTAATACAAGGTTTATGTTATCATATTCAAATTCTCTGAAATAAAAACACGACAGTTTTTTTGACTGAAATGCCAAATTTGCGAACTTCGTTTTTTTAAGGAACAATCAGTACTGAAATTAAAACGTGAAGGAACAGATAATATAAATATGAAAGTCTGCCTTTGTCTCCCGTACTAATACAAGGTTTATGTTATCAATATTCAAATTCTCTGAAATAAAAAACAACGACAGTTTTTTTGACTGAAATGCCAAATTTGCGAACTTCGTTTTTTAAGGAACAATCAGTACTGAAATTAAAAACGTGAAGGAACAGATAATATAAATATGAAAGTCTGCTTTGTCTCCCGTACTAATACAAGGTTTATGTTATCAATATTCAAATTCTCTGAAAATAAAACACGACAGTTTTTTGACTGAAATGCCAATTGCGAACTTCGTTTTTTTAAGGAACAATCAGTACTGAAATTAAAAACGTGAAGGAACAGATAATATAAATATGAAAGTCCTGCCTTTGTCTCCGTACTAATACAAGGTTATGTTATCAATATTCAATTCTCTGAAAATAAAACACGACAGTGTTTTTTGACTGAAATGCCAAATTTGCGAACTTCGTTTTTTTAGGAACAATCAGTACTGAAATTAAAAACGTGAAGGAACAGATATAAATATGAAAGTCTTGCCTTGTCTCCCGTACTAATACAAAGGTTTAATGTTATCAATATTCAAATTCTCTGAAAATAAAACACGACAGTTTTTTTGACTGAAATGCAAATTGCGAACTTCGTTTTTTTAAGGAACAATCAGTACTGAAATTAAAAACGTGAAGGAACAGATAATATAAATATGAAAGTCTGCCTTTGTCTCCCGTACTAATACAAGGTTTATGTTATCAATATTCAATTCTCTGAAATAAAACACGACAGTTTTTTGACTGAATGCCAAATTTGCGAACTTCGTTTTTTTAAGGAACAATCAGTACTGAAATTAAAAACGTGAAGGAACAGATATATAAATATGAAAGTCTGCCTTGTCTCCCGTACTAATACAAGGTTTATGTTATCAATATTCAAATTCTCTGAAAATAAAAACACGACAGTTTTTTTGACTGAAATGCCAAATTTGCGAACTTCGTTTTTTTAAGGAACATCAGTACTGAAATTAAAAACGTGAAGGAACAGATAATATAAATATGAAAGTCTGCCTTTGTCTCCCGTACTAATACAAGGTTTATGTTATCAATATTCAAATTCTCTGAAAATAAAAACACGACAGTTTTTTTTGACTGAAATGCCAAATTTGCGAACTTCGTTTTTTAAGGAACAATCAGTACTGAAATTAAAAACGTGAAGGAACAGATAATATAAATATGAAAGTCTACCTTTGTCTCCCGTACTAATACAAGGTTTATGTTATCAATATTCAAATTCTCTGAAAATAAAAACACCACAGTTTTTTTGACTGAAATGCCAAATTTGCGAACTTCGTTTTTTTAAGGAACAATCAGTACTGGAATTAAAAACGTGAAGGAACAGATAATATAAATATGAAAGTCCTACCTTTGTCTCCCGTACTAATACAAGGTTTATGTTATCAATATTCAAATTCTCTGAAAATAAAAACACCACAGTTTTTTTGACTGAAATGCCAAATTTGCGAACTTCGTTTTTTTAAGGAACATTCAGTACTGAAATAAAATAAGTACCATGAAGAAAGTTTAAATTACACATATACGAAAATATTATTTAAATGCAAAAAATGTATATATTATATATTTATCTATTTAACTGCAAATCTAAAAATTATTCTGAATCAACAATCGTGTACCTCTATCGTTTCCGAAGAATTCAGCCGAAGATATACTGGAAGATCCTTGAAACCGGCTCAGATTCGCCTTGGTCTCATAATCGTCACCTTTGTCTCCGAAGTACTGGTCAGACGAGATCGCCTTGGCATTTCCGAATTTCTTCCGGGCCTCGTCAGAAGATGTGGACGAATCTATTAGTGTCCTTACCGGTCTCTCCGTCGATTTACCTACGGGAGCATGAAAGTGTCATAGGGGATACGCGTGTCATTCAAAATCGCTTATTTTGACCAAGAATACACTGAAAACATCGTTTTGAAGTCATCCCTAGGCACCATGAAACAATCAGATGAAAAGTATTAAGAGTCCTCCAGGCAGGCTGTTGAAAATAAACCTTAATAGATTTATAAAAGCAAGCACAGCAAGCTTTGGTTTGATTGATTACGATTATTATACATAGGTGATGTTTTCGTATTTTTTACCTCAGGTTGGTATCATAGGAAGTTATTATATGTGTTGGTATGCTTAATTTGAAAAAAATTGGATTTTTCGGTACCAATTTTTCTTACAATTTATTCCTGAATTTATTTGATTGCGTGAGAGTATTAAAATGTGTATAATACATCGCACTGATAATAATAGAAGACATGAGCATGGTTGGATAGTTTTCCTGGAAAAAATGATCGCTTCTGGTGGCACTGCGACGGATGGTTCCAAAAAGTATCTGTAACATACTAATAATCTGTGCTTAAATATATCTTACTCTTGGGTTTCTCCGGCGGATCATCGATGATAACCCAACTGTCCTTGCTATTGCTCTTCGCCTCCGCTAGGTAAGCCTCTATCTTGCTAACGCCTCCTCCTCCTCCTCCTCCTCCCGAACTGCTGCCGCTCCCGAATCCACCGAAACCGCTGGATAGCCCGCCGCTTCCGAACCCGTGGTCGTCGAAGAAACTCTCGGTGTCCGTCAGTCGGAGTTTGCCTAGCGAACTTAGCGTGCTCGGAGCAGACGGGAGATTCTCCTGTTCTATGGTTTGCATGTCGCTCAGAGCCGAATGGCTTATTCCGCTGAAACAAGTATGTTATGCTATACACGAGGTTTGTCCGGGAAATAGTACAAAAACTTCGGGGCGTCGTGGAAGGGTGGCCCGGTGGTTTCTTCTCTCTATGCAATCCCTCTACGCTCAGTTCGAGCCGGAGCGCTCTGCGAGTAAGTAGGATTGACGTCTGCTTGTTGAAAGAAACGTCGAGCTCCGAGGGAAATGTTGAACGAATTCGGGGCTGTGTTCTTAAAGACAGTTAGAATGATATCTGAGAAACTGTCAATCCCCAAAACAATCGTCCACGAAATTCTGACAGAAAAACTTGTGCACGTAAATCGTGCCGAAGCTCTTGATTCCAGAACAGAAAGTAATACCTGAATACACCGATTTAAACGTCGCACATGATTTCGGCGGACTTGACTAAAAATTTGATACTCGTTTCGAATGATTTCAAATGCTGCTGTTAATCGTCCAATTAAGTCTTGCTCTGTTCCTACTGGAGTTTCGTAAACCAAAGACTTTACAAGTCCCCACAGGAAAAAATCTAGCGACGTTAAATCGGGTAACCTAGGAGGCCAAGAAACTGATCCACCTCTGGCAATCCAACAGTGGATTTCACGTGTAAAAAAATGCATAGAAAAAAAAATGGCGACTATGGAGAAAAATAGCGTTTCCAATGGTGAATTCGTTCTTTCAAATAAAAAATTCCTTGTGCCTGAAAAAATATGGGTACCATATTTTTCAATCAATCCTCATAGTTGACCCTTAAGGGCTGAGTTCCGATCGAGGGTTAATTAATCCTCGGATTTTAAACGAATTCTAACATCCTCAAATGGTTTAACTTTAGCACTTTACAGACGCATAACAGATTTTCAAGATCCTCATAACATTCAAAATCTTCAAACCTTTCAAAATTAACAAAACTCTTAAAATTTTCAACTTTCACAATTTTCAGAATTTTTCGAAATTTTCAAAATATTAAAATTTTCAAAATCAACATACAGTAAAGGACAGAAGTATATAGACAAATATGAATATTTACAAAAATACCTTTAGAAAACGAATTTATACTTCATTGCTCCATAAACAAATGCGTTATTGGTAGAAAAACTACATTCCTTGTTTTAACATTATCTGCAATGAACACGATACAAGTCTGAGTATAAGCACTTTTTTATGAGGGACAAAAATATGTAAACAAATTCTTTTCAACATTAGTTTAGTACAGGTTCGTGTCAGAAGAGGATTAGTTTGTGTTCATCAAGTATTGTGGAATAAGTTGAGTGATTTTAAGACCATGCCGCGTGGTACAGAAATTTATTTCGATGTGAAAACTAAGGTCATTGAATTATACAAAGATAGTCAACGTCAAGTCGACATTGCCAAAAATTTTAAGCTGAAGCGTAAAGCAGTTTGTGCAATATTGAACAAATATAAACAAAAAGGTATCTTGGAAGCCTCTAAGAGAAGTGGTCAGCCTAGAAAACTAAATGCTAGCTTAATAAAAGTAATTTCGTCCAAAGATCTGTTTAAAACCTCAAGACAAATAAAAGCCGAAATTGAGACAAAAGGAATTGTCAGTATTTCTACAAAAACTATAAGTAGGAGATTAAAGAAGCCGCTAATCTCGTGGAAAAACCGTAAGAATTGTGTTACTGCAATAGAAAGTCCAAAAATCAAGTATGAAAAATTATTTTGGAACGAGATAAAATAAAATAAAATTATAGTAAAAAAGCGTGGGGTATGGGCTGCAATTAATTATATGTTCATAAAAATTCCAATTTACTAAATAGCAACTAAAAAAATTATTCCAACAATTATTATCTAGCACGCAACCCTTTCTTACTATAACTTTTTTTGAGCTTCATGACAGAAGTATGGACAGCAATTGAACTTTCAAATAAAAAAATTATCCCTTCAACAATGCACAATTCAACTTTGACCCCCACCATTTACCTCTTTGACATGACCCCCATGCCGAGCCTCTCGAACTGATCCGCCTTCTTGGGGTCCTGCTTCCTCAATCTTTCCTCCTGTTTATGTTGTTGCTCGCTGATATCCTTGTAGGCTAGCTTCACGGCAGCTTCTTGGTCGCTGCGTTCCTGTGCCGAACGCGCTACGGATTTCAGCGATTCTTCGGCAGCGACCATTCGGCTCTCTTCGGCTAGTTCCGCTTCGCGCTCCAGTTCGGCAAAGTTCGCCTTCACTTTAGTGGCGCCCAGGCCGGATTTTTTCACGCCTCCCTGTTGAAAAAAATACACTGAAAACCGCATATGTTCCCTGTATAACACGGTCATTGATCGGGTTCCAATCCAATCCTAACGTTGAAGAAACGTGTTGGAATCGAAATGGATTATGCAGAGAAATAAAATAATTTTTCTACTTGAAAATCGGTCATTCATTGCCGGGCCGAGAACTTTTCACCTTTTATATATATGATGACAGATTTTTCGCGCTAGAGCTGTAAACTAACAAGAATGCTTGCTCAAAGTTAGTCTCATAGGTACATACCAAACCTTTCTTTGCAGGCTGCTTCCTTGCAGTAATATTTGATGTTTTTGGTGCTGATGCAGAATTTAGCTCTGAATTCAGGCAGTCTACCTTAGGTCCATCTTCCAAATTCATCATTTCCTTTTTAGTAATTTTTGGTGTAAAGTCCTATAAAAAATACAAGTCCCTATAGCATCTATCTCAAAAACTAAACAACAGTTAAATGATATGAAAGATATGCTCATGAATATTACTGTTGATCAGTCAACAACCGAGGATAAAAATCTTATTTTTGCCGCCAATTGATGACAAAAACGCGAGAGAATCATGGAGTTTAAGAAGTGATAACCTTATAAAAGTTATATTAGTAAAGATAAATATTATCATCACTATCATTATGTTCTTGCTAAATATATCACTTTAATGTTAAGGTGAAAAATCACATTTATATAATAAGATTTTTTTCCACTCCCATAAAAGTACACAGCTGTATTGAAATGGAGTCAGAATTTGTAACAAATGATATTGATGATATGGTATAATAATTTTTTCAGATATTGTTAGTTTTCCTAAATGCTCACCTCTTCAACTGGCACTTCTTTAGATGCAAGTTGCTCGTGTTCAGCAAAAATGTCCAATGTGGCATTATTTGCATTTGATTTGTCATGGTTTTCATGAGATGAAGTAATGTGAAGCTAAAAAAATTGTTATGCAGAAATATTGCAAGCCGTTATTATAATTCAAATCGTCACACAATCATCAGGTCAAAAGGTGCTCTATTCAAACTTACATGTGGATTGGATTTCACTGAAGCTATGGCAGCTTGATTCAATTTATCTTTGTACAACTGAGCAGCTCTTGAATTATATTTCTTCTGTACATCCGTTGTGGTACAATTGTGTTGACTGAAAAATTGCAACTGAAAAAATGGACAAAAACTTTCACAACACTGGCAACTGAATAAAAGAGTTTATTATTATTTATTAGTAACACTGCTTCTATAAGCCACAATTTATTACAAAAAATTAAGTGCAAGACTGGGTCAATTTTTGGACCATCTCCAAATTGTAGTTTGATTTAATATTAACCTTTATTCAACAACCAAGATGTTTATTTAGAAAAATGACAAATTGGCTATTCTCCTATGAACAAAAAACTTTAAATTCCATTTAAAATTTAAAGATACAGAGTTGGTTATTTCAAAAGTGCACCTATCCTGCATATCAGGAGTAATGCCACCAGATGTTGTAAATTAAGACTTCTGAATAAAAAACTAGTACCACCCAAGAAAGATTAAATCAAAAGTTACATATAATTTTTTCATGTTGAGAAAACAAACTTTGTGTGAAAAAGTGTAAGTGGAAATTCATGCTTCATAACATGACCCTAAATTCCCCACTAAACATAGATTTTTTTTTAATAACTTTCAGATGATACTGCACGATTTAGCTATTTTTTTAATAGTATTTTCAATCACTATAGTGGACATTTTTATCCTATTATTTAATACTTACTGCATTGCTATTTCCACCAAGTTGCATCTGCCTCAACTGTAGCCATGTCCAGTTAGTGTCCAACTGTGTAGACCTCACGAATGTCAAATGCACCCCTAAACTGCGATGGATGGCTGAGCAGTCTATACATATAAAAATGCCATAAGTGACGCTGGACCATGTTGGATTCTTGGCGTTACAGTCAAAACACACCTAGAAGAGAAATGAAGAGTTATTAAACAAACTGGAAAGTGGAACAGTTTTAGCCCCATTTTTGTTTCTAAATGTTCCAAGTCGGAAAGTGGTGTTTCTAGTAATGTGAGGACGTAAAGGTCGAGAACAAAGTAATAATAAGCTTATTACACATAAAAATTACTATAAAACATCAATTATCAGTTTTTTAATCTGTATTTCGTACCTTATTGCCAGGTATCGACCTCAAACTGTGGAATACGGATTCGATGTCCTCTTTGCTTGGCTGGCTTTCCATTTTAGAGAATTTTATATTTTTTATGAAAAACGTAAGAAAATGTATTTGTATCTGCGATTTCCTTCTTTTTGATGTGGATTTCACACGTATGTTTTCATGCCACACGTCACTCAGACATTTTCCACCTGTCAAAGTGTCACGTACTCTGACGTGGCCGTCAAGTGTCATTGCTAGAGATGAGAAAATATTCGATATTTTGGGATAATATAAAACCATAATAGAATAAACCTATGGAGCTGAGCAGCTGTAGAGCTGACAGTAGCAAGTCACTTAGATTCTCTCGACTCACTGCTATTCAAATAATCTGCGAGGCTATCACTTATTATTGATCCACCTCCACCTAATTTGCTTTTGTTCTGTGCAGTCGGTCGCTTGTCACTTGTCAACTGTCAAGTTTCATTTTTCTTTTTCCATCTGCCTTCAGAAAAGAGGGAATTGAATAATTAAATTTGATTTTCTTCTTCATGTAAGTATCTTTAAGCGCAAAAAGATCTATCATCTTATACACGAACTTTTTGCTCGTCATTTCATTCAGTAAGCTCGCACGCAGCTCTGTCCTGTATATTTTCGTGTCGCCACGCGTTTTTCCTAACCTCAACCAATATTGCCTTTTCAGATTTGTAAAAAATGACGAACTCAAAGGGTTACCGTCGTGGTACGAGGGACCTTTTCGCCCGCAAATTCAAGAAACATGGTGTTATTCCGTTGTCCACCTACATGAAAGTATACAAAGTGGGAGACATCGTGGACATCAAAGGCAATGGTGCTGTACAAAAAGGCATGCCCTACAAGGCTTATCACGGTAAAACCGGAAGGGTTTTCAACGTTACGGCACACGCTTTAGGTAAGTTCAGTATCTTGAGTTACTATGCCATTACTAGTAAATTCCAAGGATCTTGTAGATCAATTTTTATGTAGACACAAACGAATTCGGAGACAATTTAGTCCATCAGAGCCCTGATGGCAACAATACTAAATTTAGGTATTTTCAAAACATATTTTCACATTTGTGAACTGTACAGAAATTTGTTTTCTTTTAAGTTGGGTTTGTTGATTCCGATTCCAATATCAATTCGATGCCGGGAGTAACAGGTTGCCCCAGGGGAGCCAGAATTTTTTTTATAATATTTGTATTCAGCATCATAGATTACCCAGTTTTATTAAGTTTTGTCCACATGCAGCCACAAATAACAGACATGGGTTTCCAATAATTAGCCTACCAAACAAAGCTTTAAACCTGCACTAGTATAGACTTAGTCCCAAATACTCTTCATGATCTTTTAGGGAAAGCTTTGAACATTAATTTCACACCTTTTGAGCCTATAAATATTGTTTTTAATAATTGAAAATGCCTAATTTTTAGTCTTTCCCAGATATGATATTTTTATTTAGAAAGATCTGAATAACTTAAAAAAACTTTATCTAATGCAAAAAACAATGATTTGTAATTTGACAAAAAAATGTTTAAATAAAGCACCATGTTAGGGAAACATCTTGATTCAAGTTAATGGGCATCTAACAAACATGATTATGAGAAAAGGAAAACTTTGCTAGTTGGATAAGCAATTTGTCTACATGATGAGTAAAATCTAATTTATGATCAATGCTTAGTCCCAAAAATTTGTTAGTGTCTGTTTTGTGTATCAATTTATTATTTAAATTTATAAAATCAAGGGAGCATTTAAAAATGTGATAAATTTGATCATATTAACATTGCATTTTTTGATTGATTGTATCACTATCAATTTTTTTAAGTTTATTTAATCATTGATAAGAGGACCTAATACTGACCCAAATTTTGAAAATTCTGAAATCATTTTTTCAAGTATGGTTTTGCAATGACTTTCTCAGTTAACAAATCATTTATTAGAAAACAGTTCTTGACTAAAGAAGAGAGAAGAGAAAATTTATCCCAATAACATTCCATATTATACTTGTCTTAGCATCCATTCTTTTTTGTTCCAGACTGATTTTTTATATTTTTCAATTGTTCTGAATAAAAAAAGGTGCAAAGCAACCCCGGTCTAAAGTAAACTGTTGAATGCTTAAAAACTCACAAGACAAGACTGCAAAGTTTACACACAAGCAATTTGTAATATTTTCTGGTAGGCTAACAAATGGTGAAGTGTTGATTTTTGCACATGGTACATGATAAACCAGATTCATTTTAATAACACCGGATGCAGTTTTATCAATCTAAAATACGAACTTGATATCGTTCCAGGCGTAATCGTAAACAAGAGAGTTCGCCACAGGATCATCCCCAAAAGGATCAACATCCGTATCGAGCACGTCAACCACTCCAAGTGCAGACAGGACTTCTTGCAGAGAGTGAAGTCGAACGAAAAGCTGCGTAAAGAAGCCAAGGAAAAGGGCACCAAAGTAGAGTTGAAGAGGCAGCCAGCTCAGCCGAGGCCTGCACATATTGTCAGCGGGAGGAATCCTGCTATACAACTTGCGCCTATTCCATATGAGTTCATTGCTTAGGTTAATAAAGGATAAATTTTGTTTTGGTTGTTTTTGTTTTCCTCTTTCATATACAGGGTGTTTCAGTTTATTGTTGCATAACGTTAAGATTCGATAGAACTTTTGAAATTAATGCATAAAGTCTATATAAACATGGGTCGAAAAATGCGTGGCTTCCGAAATACAGGGTGTAAATTTACTTTCCAAAAAAGGTTTTTTTTTAAATATTTCGAACAATATTTGATGTATAACTGTGAAAATTGGTATACAAGGGTTTTTTGGTACGACAAAACGAACCATGGGCATAGTTTTACTGTAGCCGCTAGAGGGCGCTCTCTACTGTACCTGTAGTGTATTAAAATGACCGAAAATTTTTTCTTAGTGCAATTTTTTGCTTTTTGAATAAAACAACTGATTCTTCGCACTTTACAACATAAAAAAGCTCTCTTGTGAATTTTCGTTATAGTTAACCGTTTTTGAGATATTTCGATTTTTAAGGTTCGATGCACTTTTAATTATCTATGATAAAATAACGTTAAAAAGTCAGTATCTCGATAATTTTTAGAAGTAGGCTGTGCCTGCAAATTTTTTTAGAAATTGAAAGCAGAATAAGGTAAAACGTCAATTAGTTGACATTTAGTTTTATTGTCTGTTGAAACCTGAAACGTTTTTTTGCAATTGTGAATGCACGAAATTTAGTTTCTTTTCCTGTTTTTTTTTTCTAAGTTTTATAAAAATGCCATTTTTATTGTCCAATCAAGAGTTAGCGGATATTCATTTTGTGTTTGGCTTTGTAAATGGAAACGCAGCAGAAGCAGCAAGAGAATACGCACGAAGATTTCCAAACAGACGACATCCAACTCGCTCAGAATTTGTAAGAGTGCATCGCCAAATAATTGAAAATGGTTTTGGAAATCTCCAAAGGGATCAAAACATAAATGTTCGTTAGCGCAGATTTACCCGTATGATTCTGCGTGAGTTTGATAGAGATCCGACCACAAGTGTTAGGAGAGTTTCTGGTGCCATGGGAATTTCAGCAAGCCATGTTCACCGTGTTCTTAGAAATGACCATAGACGTCCTTACCATTTGCAACCTGTGCAAGGACTACAGCCAGGAGACGGAGAACGAAGAATCACATTTTGTCAGTGGATAATAATAGGGAGTTTTTAAGTAACGTTTTATGGACCGATGAGTCATGCTTCACTAGACGTGGAGTGGTAAATTTTCATAATCAACACATTTGGTCGCATGAAAATCCGCATGCAGTTCGGGAAAGAAATTTTCAGCATGAATTTAGTGTGAACGTGTGGATTGGTATCTACCGTAATCGACTATTTGGACCCTACCTTTTGCCTGCAAGGTTAAATGCTGCGAACTTCTTGGAATTTTTAAAGGCTGAACATGCAAATATGTGGGATGATGTTATGTTAGATTTAAGAACACTGGCCTGGTTCCAGCTTGATGGTTGTCCAGCTCATTATTCGAGAATAGTTAGAAACTGGCTGGACGAAAATTATCCAGAAAGATGGATCGGCCGTGGAGGACCAGTCGCCTGGCCTCCACGATCCCCTGACCTAAATCCATTAGATTTCTTTGTGTGGGGATTTCTAAAAGAAAAAGTGTACCAGACTCCCGTAACCACAAGAGATATGCTAATAGACAGAATCAGGAATGCATGTGGTGAAATAAGGCCTTATTTGAATAATGCTATACCACGTTCGATCATTCGTAGATGTGAATTGTGTATTGAACAATTGGGTTTACATTTCGAGCAACTACTTTAGATTTTGTATGTTTTTCCTAACTATCCAATAGCATTTTAGTTGTAAATAATTAATTTAATTTGTTAAAAATAATATTGGAAAATTAAACAAATTAATATTCTGTTTTTTGTGTTTATTCGGATTTAGGAATTATTGCTGTGTTTAAAAACACAATCTAAACGATCATCTTAATTATGTAATGCCCAAATCGAAAATGCAAACAAAAATATTATTTTCCCATAAATAATTAAAAATGCATCGAACCTTAAAAATCGAAATATCTCAAAAACGGCTAACTATAACGAAAACTCGCAGGAGAGCTTTTTCATGTTGAAAAGTGCGAAGAATCAGTTTTTTTATTCAAAAAGCAAAAAATTGCACTAAGAAAAATTTTTCGGTCATTTTAATACACTACAGGTACAGTAGAGAGCGCCCTCTAGCGGCTACAGTAAAACTATGCCCATGGTTCGTCTTGTCGTACCAAAAAATCCTTGTATACCAGTTTTCACTGTTATACATCAAATATTGTTCGAAATATTTAAAAAAAACTATTTTAAAAAGTAAATTTAAACATCCTGTATTTCGGAAGGCACCCATTTTTAGACCCATGTTTATATAGACTTTATGCATTAATTTTAGTTATGCAACAATAAACTGAAACACCCTGTAGATAAAATCTAGAGTAATTTGTTACAGGATTATAGAAACGCAAGGTGTAGAAACATTCTCAGATTTTATCAAAAACAGCAAAACCCTAATTTTCGCTGTTCAAGTTTCCAAAATCCCGAAAATTAGATCCATGATTCTCGAAATTTTCATATCTTAACTTTCAAAGTTCTTAAATTTTTCACTTTTTCAGTTTTCAAGATTTTAAAGAATATCAAAGCTTTCATGATTGTCACGATTTTCAAAATTGTTTTTTGAAAGTTTTTAAAACTTGAAATTTGAAAACAACGTTTTTACAATTCTGAGAATACTGACTTTGGAAAGTGGGAAACTTGAAAAATTTTAAAAATTCTGATATTGCTCGATTTCTAACTTCAAGTATGGCTTTGCGATGTCTTTCTCAGTTCCATATACACAAAAAATTTTGATTTCCAAAAATGTTTAGCTTTCAGAATTCTCAACATTTGCATGTTTGTTTTCGAATTTGTCAATATTACAAAATCTTCGAAATTTGGAGATTCAAATGTTTTGAAAATTTTCAGTTGTCAGAAACGGCGAAACCCTAATTTTGGATTTCTAAAATTTTCAGAGTATTGCTTAGTTTCATGATTTTCATCGATTTTCAAAACTTCCATGATTTTCATTATTTTCAAGATTTTAAAATTTTAAACATTTTGCTGATGTGGTGAAAATGAAAAAGTCCGAAAACTCCGAAACCGCTTCATTTTTTAGTTCAGGTATGACAGTGACGCCTTTGTCAGTTCCACACACATCAAAATGGTTAGTTTTCAAAAATTTTGAAGCTTTCGGCATTCTTAACATTTTCATTAGCCTCAAAAAGTTTTCGGATTTGTTATTATTCCAAAATTTTCGAAATTGGAAAACATCCAATTTTTTTAAAATTTTCAGATTTTCAGCTGTCAAAAAAGCAAAACCCTGATTTTCATTGTTTCTTTCATAAATTTTCGACGTTCTCATTCGTTTCATGATTTTCGGAATTTTCATAAAATAGAATTTTCACTTTTCAAAGTCCTTAAATCTTCCATTGTTTAAGTTTTCGACATTTTAATGATTTTCAAGCATTTAAAAACTCTCATGATTGACACGATTTTCAAGAGTTTCAAAAAATTTTTGATTGATTTTAATCTCGAAATTCTGAAAACTGAAAGTTTTGAAAATTTAGAGAATTGTGAACTTTGAAAATTCTGTAAGTTGATTTAATTCTTACTTCAAGAATGGGTTTGCAACGCCATCTCAGTTAACGAACCTTTTATTAGAACGGATCGATAGATGCGGCTAACTGGTGCTTCTCTCAAAAAATTCTCGTCAAAAACGCTCATTTTTTTTACTGATTGCTAGTGAACAGGATAGGAGTAAAGAACACAAAACTACGTTTTTCTGTGAGAATTTATTCCAATAACATTCCATATACTCGTGTCTTTACGTCCAAGGGTGATCAAGAATATAACAGATCTTTAATTTCTCCCTTTGATACATAATTTCCTAAATATTATCAATTCAAATTATGAACTACATTTTTATTCGTTTGTAATTTTAGCATCTATGTTTTGCAAAATTCTGCATGGGGGAGTATTTTTTCACCAAAATATATCTTTTTTTTTTGTAAAAATTGCATAAAATCATAATAACCTAAAACAGGAACATTACTTCAAAATACAGTTACAGGAATCCTTTAAACTATTCAGTCAGTTGACTTTTTTTATTTAGGGAGCATCCTCTCCAAAACCAACTGCCAAATTAAAGTAAATCTACGATGTCTCTGTGACTTCCTGTGGACTTCGACACAAAATGGTTGTTGTACTGATGATGGTGATCAATAGAAATATTCCCAAAAGCACTCGATCGAGTACTATCGAGGTCTGTTTCCATTCCAGTTCTATCTGCTCTCTTCTTTCGTGTTCTGTCAAACGTATGTCGTTTTTTTCTAAGCTGTGGTGCAGTTTGTTCAAAATGCGGACTATCTGACTTTCAAATGCGTCTGAAACAGTAATAAGCGTTTAAAACGTCAGTTTGGTTTCATGGAAAGTATTGGAGTTTTTATGCGGATCCCTGCTAATTTGAAATCAATTTATTTTACGGAATGGTGCATGCGCTTATCAAGGCTTACGATGGACTTTTTTGGAAAATGGTGAATTCGTACCAATTTTTGGTCCTGCTATCTATGGCTGATAAAGACCGAAGCGAACTTTTTTGAAAAATGGTGAATGCGCAAATAGTGGCGGATAGGTCCACCAACTTTGGTGATTTTTTAGAAAAATGGTGAGCTCGAGCTATTTTCTAAGTAATGGAGGATAAGTCTACCAAAATAGATTTTTTTTAGTGGTGAATTTGCACTAACTTGCTACCGTTCTGTTTCTTATGGAATTGTAGAAGGGCTCATTAAGATTTAAGCGAACTTTTTGAAAAATAGATAATTTGTGTCAGTTTTTTTCCGCTATTTTTGTAAGTAATGCCTTACCAAAATTGAAGGCGTTTCGACAAAAATGGTGAATTCGCGCTTGCATGCGATCTAACTATTTCTAATGGAATAGCTATGGGCTCATTAAGATCTAACCAAAACTTTTCGAAAAAAAAAGGTGAATACGCTACGTAATGCTGGATAGGTTCACCAAAAGTCGATTTTTTCGAAAAATGGTGAATAAACGCTCATTTGTAATTTGGCTTTTTGTCAGATAAGATCATTAGGATAAGTCTTCTTGAAAAATGGTGAATTCGCGCCAGTTTTGATCGCTATTGTCCTTATGAATGGTGGATGGGCCTATCAAAATCGTGATTTTTCAAAAATGGTGAATTTGACCTTATACGCGATCGTGCTATACTAAGTGACATATAAATCCGAACACCCAGTTTAATTGGTTTTATTTTAATAAAAGTTGGTGAATGTATTTATCTTACTGTAAATAACAAGTGAAAAAATGTTCAGCCTTATCAGTTGGACATTCCGGTTTTTATACTGCTTTTTTTTAATTCACTAATGCTCTAAAAATGAATATTTCAGCCGCAATAAAGAATCAACGTTGGCGGATTTTGGTTCTTGACATCCTTTACGATCGGTTACGATGCCTAGAGTAGGGAGACCTGTACGATTTCGTCAACTTAGTGAGTTTGATAGGGGCCGTATAGTGGGACTTCGGGAAGCTGGACTTTCTTTTCGGGCAATTGCAGTTAGAGTGCAAAGAAGTGTAGACACTGTGGTTAGGTGTTGTCAGGCATGGCTTCGAGAAGGCCGTACGCAAAGAGCAAGGGGCACTGGACGCCGCCGTAGAACAACAGACCGTGAAGATCGCCGCCTAAGATTATTGGCCTTAAGGGACCGTTTCTCCACTACCAGGTCCATTGCAAATGAATGGTTTGCAGAACACGGAAGACCTATTGGCATGCGAAGTGTTTACCGACGAATGAGAAGTTTTGGCTTGTTTTCATACCGGCCACACTGGGTCCTCCCTTTAACTCGAGAACACCGACGTAATCGCCTTGAGTGGTGCAGACAACGGTCACTCTGGGATCAGGAATGGAACAGTATTGTCTTTAGTGACGAGTCTCGATTTTGTTTAGGCATGCACGATGGTCGTGCCAGGGTTAGAAGGCGACGTGGTGAAAGGAGGAATCCACAGTTTTTTGTTGAAAGACATGTTCATCACACTGGTGGAGTTATGGTTTGGGGTGCTATAGCTTATGGTTCCAGGTCACCTTTAATCTTCATCAGAGGTAACATGAACGCGCAGCGTTATATCCACGAAGTTCTAGAACCCCATCTTTTACCCTATCTTGACACCCTGGCAGATCCAACTTTCCAATAAGATAATGCCCGACCACATGTTGCAAGAGTCACAATAGACTTCTTTCAACATAATGATGTCACATTGTTACCATGGCCACCAAGATCTCCCGACTTATCCCCAATTGAGCACGTGTGGGATATGATGGGTAGGAGATTGCTCAATTTGCAACGTCCTCCTCAGCCTCTAGAAGCACTTCGAGAGGAGTTGGTGGTTGCCTGGAGAGAGATACCACAGGAGGATATTGACCACCTGATCAGAAGCATGCCTAGGCGCGTTGGAGAATGCGTAGCACATCAGGGTGCATCCACACATTATTAAAGGTCAAAGGGCTTTAAAGCAGTGCAATCATTTTGAAATTTTTATCATTTACTTATTATGCTTCATTAAGTACTTATACAAAATTTTATTAAAATAAAACCATTTAAACTGGGTGTTCGGATTTATATGTCACTTAGTATATATCTTATGGAATGGTAGATTGAAGCGGAGTTTTTTGAAACATGGTGAATTTTTTATCGCTACTTTTCTAAGTAATGGTGGATGAGCCTACGAAATGGTGATTTCTTAAAACAATGGTAAATTCGCCCTTATATGCGATCATGCTATACCTTGTAGAGAGGCAAGTGGGCTCATTTACATTGAAGCGGATTTTTTTTGAACAATGGTGAATTTACTATTATACGCGATCATGCTATACTCGTATCTCACGGAATGGCAGACCGGCCCATTTGAATTGGAGCGTTTTTTTTTTTTGAAAAATGGTGAATTCGCGCCAGTCTCTTATTGCTATTTCTCTAAGTAAAGGTACTGTCAGACGTGCTCATTACTAGCACGAAAGCATGCTTTTATTGAGCAAGTAGCACGTGTGTAATGTAATCAGCATACTTATTTAGAGCGTGCTCAAAAATCAAACAACGTTCTGAACAGGTTTGCTTATTAGCATGCTATTATCGATTCTGTCTCGAGCTGCGGAGGACGACTGTTTTACGTAATTAATTGAAGTAATTATTATAATAAAAACGGAAATTAAACCCGCAATATGTCGCGTTGGGGAGAAGAAAAAGCTTTGCTTTTTGTGTCACATTATCGAGGTTACGAATGTCTGTGAAACACACATTCTCCTTTATATAAAAATAATATTGCACGTAATAATGCTTATGAGGCTTTATTAAAGGACATGAATGATTCAAGTTTAACAATCAAAATAATTAAAACTAAAATTAAAAACCTAAGATCTGTGTAAAAGCAGCGTCTCCTACAGTGACTGTTTTCTCTGGTAAATTAAGAGTATTTATTTCCAAAGTCTTTCCCTAGCTAGATTGATGAAACGATCCTCCATCCCTTCCATTGGTTCCAATATCCACATACGAGAAGCAATAATCATGGTCAACTAATACCAGGAGTATAACGCTGTGAGAACCTTTGTAGTTGTAGTAAAATGAAGAGTCATCAGGAGCAAAAATATTTATATGTTTTCCATAAATCGCTCCCACACATTCTATATTATTTTATTAAGTTCTGTACGGATAGTACTGTCACTATATACTTGTACATCCATTTTGGCCGAGAGCCTGGTGCCAAATAGCACGTCTGTCCGTACGTTTGCTTTGAGCATGCCTATTTAGGAGTATGCTTAAAAGAAGCATGCTTATTGCTGGCAAATGTGAACAGTTTGCAGAGCATGCGAATTTTAAGCAAGCTTATAAGCATGCTTTTTTGAGCACGTCTTTCAGTATCATAATGGTGGATGGACCTACCAAAATCGCGATTTAAAAAAAATTCGCGCCAGTCTTTGATCGCTGTTTTTCTAAGTAAAGGTGAATGGACGTACCATAATTGCAGACTATTTTTTTTAATGGAGAATTCGCGTTAATTTGCAAATGTGCTATCTTTGCGGCAACGTGGATGAACACCAAGACTAACAGTGAACTTTTCTGAAAAATCGTAATACCACGCCAATTTTCAATCCTGATTTTTTTATGCAGGCAGAAGCGCGTTTTTAAAAAAAACGAAATATTCGCGTTAGTTTATGATCATGATTTAAAAATGGTGAATTGACGCCAAATTGATGATGGGCTCATGGAGACTGAAGTGTATATTTTTGGAAAATGGTGAATCCGCGTTATTTTGCGATAGTTGTAATGTAGTGTTTTTTTAAATCCTGTTTCCTAATGAATGATACTATTCATCTTGCCTTATTTTCAAAACTACAACAATTACCTAACTCAGCATCTCTGGATCTGTTGAAGAACTTTGGCGAATTCTGGTGTCTATTCTGTAAACAGTACCTATCGTCGTTGGGCGTGTTGTTCTGTGACCACTGCCACTGACAGTCCAGCCTAGTCCCCGTTTCCGGGTTGATTTCCTGGAAAAAGTCCTGTAATATTACGTGTTGGAATCTGCATCCCACTCATCACTTAACGCTACTATTTATTTTCGGTCTCGACTGAGAGAACAGACAAATATTTTACAGGGTGTCCCAAAATAACACTTCAATTTCTCGTAAACATGTAGAAAGATAGAAAAATTACGTCAGTTTTCATAAAAAGTCCTATAGAACGATTTTAATAAGCCAATTTTTATTGAATTGATATTCAGAGTGTCCTATTTTAATTTTTCCACTAAAATAGTTCAAAAACCGCACCTCCCAGAAGAAGATTAATAACAAAACTTGTCGGGTTTCGACGGGGCAAGATATTGATGAACTTGACTATGACCTTGACAGTGACATTAACAATGACATTGAGGGCGACATTGACAATGACATCGACGTTGACAATTACATTAACAATGACAATGACATCGACAATGCAATCGACAATGACATTGAAAATGACAACGACATTGACAATGACATTGACAGCGACATGGACAATGACACTTACATTGACAATGACAATGACCTTGACCGTGACAATGATACTGACACTGACAATGACAATGACAATGACACTGACAATGACAATGATATTGACAATTACATTGATAATGACATTGACAATGACATTGACAATGACATTGACAATGACATTGACAATGACATTGACAATGACATTGACAATGACATTGACAATGACATTGACAATGACATTGACAATGACATTGACAATGACATTGACAATGACATTGACATGACATTGACAATGACATTGACAATGACATTGACAATGACATTGATAATGACATTGACAATGACATTGACAATGACATTGACAATGACAATGACAATGACATTGCCAATGACATTGCCAATGACATCGCCAATGACATTGTCAATGACATTGACAGTTTAAGAATTAAAAAAATATTAAATATTAAAAAAACAATATTTTCTAACTTTGACAGCCAGATTTTTTTATATGAGCTTTTCTCTTTGATTTTTTAGTAATCGATTTTTGAACTTAACGTGCAATTTGTGCATAGGGCACTGTCTCGATCTCGAAATGTCTTTCAGAAGCGGCAAAATGATACTTTGCGTTCTTGCACGTAGTTGTTTTTCGTACCTGTACGGTTGCTGTTCGATGTAAACTAGCGCTGACAGTCTCGAATCTCATGAATACGAGAGGCGCCAGTTTGAGGAGGACGATGTTTTTGAGGAAGCCTGGTACGGCGGTTCCTCGGACCCCTCGGTGGTAGATGTTCAAGGTTACTACAGATAAACCTGATGCGAACGATACCAGGCAGATGCTTACCCCGTAGTACATACCTGTAAAAAATTATAAACGGTTTCTTTGCAATGATTTCATAGGTCCACAAAATAAAAAAAGCGGTGTGTACTGGAGGTGAACTATATTTTTCTCGTGTATTTTTTTTGCTGAGCACGTATCTGAAATCAGGATTGGTGATCGTTGGACAAAAACGAAGGTAACTTAAGCATTAAGATCACAGATTTTGGTATTTTCGGTATTTTATTCGAAAACTTTTTTCTTTCGATTGAATCCCAAAAAACACGTTTTCTCATTCTTTGATGTCGGATAAAAAGTTTTTCCACAGAAACTGGTGTACCCATGCATTTTATGCGGCCATTTTAAAGACCCCCTTGAACAACTTGCACCAATAAAACCAGACTTTACAATTATTTCGTTGAAATTTGCTAATATGATTAGCCTATTGGAAAGTTTTACAACCAGACATCTTGACCTGCTCCGCCACACACGCTGAACTTTTTCCATCCACTTTATCAAGAAAGATCCTCGAAAAATCAATCGGTTGATTAATGTGCGAATCAATATTTTCACGTACATCATTCATCATGTTCCGGATGAGGAATTTTCACAACATTTTTTCCCTATATGAGGAGGCGGATGTTTTTTTCGATGCATCTCCACAACACACACGCGGTTTTCACGCATATGAAAAACCTTCCGATACTTGATGTAAATGATTAATGGAAAATGTATCTAGAGTGCTGTCAAGCATGAATTTCATACCTACGCTGATTGACACCCAATCCTTCGTTAAAAGCAGTTTGTATAACGGTTAGGGTGCAGATCCACAATGAGATTTTTTCATGATATTTACGAAGAGTATCATTCCATTGTAGAAACAGGTGGGAGATAATGTCTCATGAGGTAACTTAAGAATTTGAAATGAAAAAAAAAGCTTTTCTATGACATCCGATGACACTGACTTGTTGGTATCCATGGATTATTATTTTTTGCCACGCATTCTATTATTATGAGTATTATGATAATCGAATTTTATTATAAACTCTAATACCTTCACAACGATGGAAGATAGGTATAAACTTTATTGATCTGAAATCTGAAAATTAAAAAAAAAATGGGGTTTATGATTTAAAAATCTAAAGTGTAACGCAATTTCTTATTTTTTGATCACCCTGTACGAGCCCCTTCCCACTTCAGTTGGCCCACTTCAAGATTTGTACCAAAATATGCCTTTATAAACTAAACATGACGAAACTATTTACTTCTAAAACAATTTATTTTCTCAAAAATATTTTAGATGCACTCTAGTCGTAAAAAATACATATTTGAAATCACTTAGACCTATAACTGATAGACCATCTGAACAAATAAACCATGTGCGAATAAAAGTTAACAAAGCAACAATTGAAAGATTCCCATAGGGTAACATCACCTTTATTTTTTATTACGGCTGAAATTCTTTGGGGCATAGCGTTAACCAAGTTTTGGCAAAAATTTGGTGAAAAACAATCCCATATTTCTTGAAGCTTTTGTCTCAGTTCGGTGATTGTACGAGCAGGATGTTGTCGTAGAACCTCGTGCCACAAAGTTTCAATAGGTGACAGATCTGGACTGCTATAAACTCATTTCAAAAGTGGTACATTATTTTCTTCCATCTATTTTATAGCCTTTTTTGAGGCATGCCACGCTGCACCATCTTGCTGAAACACAAAATCTTGGCCGGATATCAAACATTCTTCCATCACTGGTAAAAGCGATTCTTCTAAAATTTGTGTTTGATAATAAAAAAACTAAGATTTCAATAGTTGGGCCAACTGAAGTGGGAAGGTGCTCGTATTGTACGGCTATAGATGGAAATAAAAGCTAACGTGTCGAAGCGTTTTACCAAAAATATACCAGGAGAGCCACAAATGAGGGTGCGACCTTTTCTCTGTGCGACCCTGTATAACTCTGATATAATAGCTTTAGTGAATCTGAAACTAGAATTTTTCCTTTTCAAAATTCACTTTTCACTTGGTTCACTCTTTTCCGTAAATACAAGTTTTAGATAGATAGATAGATAGATAGTTTATTGTCTTATTAGATCATGTTACGTGATGATATAAGACTTGTCAATATGAATTTGAGGGTCATATATGCGTTTGATCAAATATGCCGGAAAAATACTTATAAATATAAAATAAATGAGGACATTACAATTACAATTATGTCACGATGTAACAACATACAGCAAGTGAAATATACTAAGTGACATATAAATTCGAACACCCAGTTAAATGGTTTTATTTTAATAAAAGTTGGTGAATGTATTTATCTTACTGTAAATAACAAGTGAAAAAATTTTCAGTCTTATCAGTTGGACATTCCGGTTTTTATACTGCTTTTTTTTAATTCACTAACGCTCTAAAAATGAATATTTCAGCCGCAGTAAAGAATCAACGTTGGCAGATTTTGGTTCTTGACATCCTTTACGATCGGTTACGATGCCTAGAGTACGGAGACCTGTACGATTTCGTCAACTTAGTGAGTTTGATAGGGGCCGTATAGTGGGACTTCGGGAAGCTGGACTTTCTTTTCGGGCAATTGCAGTTAGAGTGCAAAGAAGTGTAGACACTGTGGTTAGGTGTTGTCAGGCATGGCTTCGAGAAGGCCGTACGCAAAGAGCAAGGGGCACTGGACGCCGCCGTAGAACAACAGACCGTGAAGATCGCCGCCTAAGATTATTGGCCTTGAGGGACCGTTTCTCCACTACCAGGTCCATTGCAAATGAATGGTTTGCAGAACACGGAAGACCTATTGGCATGCGAAGTGTTTACCGACGAATGAGAAGTTTTGGCTTGTTTTCATACCGGCCACACTGGGTCCTCCCTTTAACTCGAGAACACCGACGAAATCGCCTTGAGTGGTGCAGACAACGGTCACTCTGGGATCAGGAATGGAACAGTATTGTCTTTAGTGACGAGTCTCGATTTTGTTTAGGCATGCACGATGGTCGTTCCAGGGTTAAAAGGCGACGTGGTGAAAGGAGGAATCCACAGTTTTTTGTTGAAAGACATGTTCATCACACTGTTGGAGTTATGATTTGGGGTGCTATAGCTTATGGTTCCAGGTCACCTTTAATCTTCATCAGAGGTAACATGAACGCGCAGCGTTATATCCACGAAGTTCTAGAACCCCATCTTTTTCCCTATCTTGACACCCTGGCAGATCCAACTTTCCAACAAGATAAAGCCCGACCACATGTTGCAAGAGTCACAATAGACTTCTTTCAACATAATGATGTCACATTGTTACCATGGCCACCAAGATCTCCCGACTTATCAATTGAGCACGTGTGGGATATGATGGGTAGGAGATTGCTCAATTTGCAACGTCCTCCTCAGACTCTAGAAGCACTTCGAGAGGAGTTGGTGGTTGCCTGGAATGAGATACCACAGGAGGACATTGACCACCTGATCAGAAGCATGCCTAGGCGCGTTGGAGAATGCGTAGCACATCAGGGTGCAACCACACATTATTAAAGGTCAAAGGGCTTTAAAGCAGTGCAATCATTTTGACTTTTTTATCATTTACTTATTATGCTTTATTAAGTACTTATACAAAATTTTATTAAAATAAAACCATTTAAACTGGGTGTTCGGATTTATATGTCACTTAGTATAAATGTCTCATGTGAAATTCGCGATATATCATGAGCAGAAAACACATTAAAAATACCTTGAAAAGTTCATATAAACATATGTCCCATTACCTAGATACAGCGCGTTTGACACCACTGACGAAAGTCATCAAGGACAAAACATCATTATTTTTCAAATAACGCTTCACAAACGTCTGTACACCTTCAAAGTCGAACAAATTTCAGTTTTTGGAGCGATTGAAAATTAATACTCAATTTCCACATTGCATCTATGCATGCCAAAATTTGACAGATGTCAACAAAACTGGCGAAATAAATATTGAGATTTTCACAAAAATTTCTCAGTGAGTGATTCCTTGATATTTGGATAAATACTTTGTACCACCTTGTATATTATCATCTCACCGCAAACCGTATATTAGAAAATGAGTTTGCCATCAAAAGTTTGTACGTGATTTTTAACCGAAATATTCGCAATCAAACCAAAAACGATTTAATGTCCACGTGCCGATCACATTCGTATCCTAATTCATCATTAAGCGACAACAGCAATCAAATTAAAAATTAAAATCGTAATTTCAGGCTGACTTGATATACGTTGAAACGAGAGCTAAATCCCGGAGTTCGAAACACAATTTGTTTGCATTCAGAATAGACAGATGAGCGCAGTTGATCCAAGCGGATTTAGCTGATGTTGCAGCAACGTTTGTTTTGCTTGGAAAAATATTTTTTTGGCACGATTCGCAAATTGTGAAAAAATCCATCACCGTCGAAAAAAACAGTGCGCTGCCTAAGGGGCCACATTGATATTAAGAACCTTCACATGTTAAATATGTAATATATAAAGTTTAATAGTTTGTGATGTAGGTATTACGATATCATGCTGTATAATATATTGTTATTAGAAGCTTGTTAGGTATTGCAAGTAATATAATCGCTGCGCTAGGCAAATGAATGACCGAGGTACCTTTTGCGAAGTTGTGCTTCAGGTGTTATTGGACCCGCCCCATAAACCATCCCTTTAAGTTCTGCCCAATACCAGAAATCCGTCGGATTGAGGTCAGGAGATCTTGCTGGCCATTTTCCAGGATCAGGAGCATTTCGACCGATCCAGCGATTTGGATAATGTTCATTCAAATACCGAATGACGCCTCTAAAAATGTGTGGTGGTGCCCCGTCATGAATAAACCACAAATTCTGTCTTCGTTGTAATGGCATGTTGTCTAAGGTATGTTCCAAAAGTTCGTCCGCATACTTTTCTGACATTGCAGCCAGGCGACGTTTTTGCGTAAACAAAGCAAATTTACCGAAGCAGCTACTGCGAAGGCTGTACGTTTGTTGAGACTTCCTCGGTTTTCACCGAAAATAAACTGAGAAGAAATTAAAATATTCCCATTGTCTCAAGTTACACAACGCGGAGAGTTTGACGTCGAGTCTTCCACGGTTGATAAACCGTAGAACAACTTACTCGAAAGACTTCCACAAAGAAAATCATTTAGAAAAGTGGGTAACGATTCCGTTTTGGACGGGAAACCGCAGATAAAAAAGGAGCATTCGGAGTATTTTCGCAGAAATATAACATTTAATCCGGTCTAAGAGGAACGATATTGAGTACTCAGTATTTGATGAGAATCAAATCATACCATAGATCGTATTGAAATATATACTAAGTGACATAATGAAGCATAATAAGTAAATGATAAAAATTTCAAAATGATTGCACTGCTTTAAAGCCCTTTGACCTTTAATAATGTGTGGATGCACCCTGATGTGCTACGCAATCCCCAACGCGCCTAGGCATGCTTCCGATCAGGTGGTCAATGTCCTCCTGTGGTAGCTCATTCCAGGCAACCACCAACTCCTCTCGAAGTGATTCTAGAGTCTGAGGAGGACGTTGCAAATTGAGCAATCTCCTACCCATCATATCCCACACGTGCTCAATTGGGGATAAGTCGGGAGATCTTGGTGGCCATGGTAACAATGTGACATCATTATGTTGAAAGAAGTCTATTGTGACTCTTGCAACATGTGGTCGGGCAAAGTTGGATCTGCCAGGGTGTCAAGATAGGGTAAAAGATGGGGTTCTAGAACTTTGTGGATATAACGCTGCGCGTTCATATTACCTCTGATGAAGATTAAAGGTGACCTGAAACCATAAGCTGTAGCACCCCAAACCATAACTCCAACAGTGTGATGAGCATGTCTTTCAACAAAAAACTGTGGATTTCTCCTTTCACCACGTCGCCTTCTAACCCTGGCACGACCATCGTGCATGCCTAAACAAAATCGAGACTCATCACTAAAGACAATACTGTTCCATTCCTGATCCCAGAGTGACCGTTGTCTGCACCACTCAGGCGATTACGTCGGTGTTCTCGAGTTAAAGGGAGGACCCAGTGTGGCCGGTATGAAAACAAGCCAAAACTTCTCATTCGTCGGTAAACACTTCGCATGCCAATAGGTCTTCCGTGTACTGCAAACCATTCATTTGCAATGGACCTGGTAGTGGAGAAACGGTCCCTTAAGGCGATCTTCACGGTCTGTTGTTCTACGGCGGCGTCCAGTGCCCCTTGCTCTTTGCGTACGGCCTTCTCGAAGCCATGCCTGACAATACCTAACCACAGTGTCTACACTTCTTTGCACTCTAACTGCAATTGCCCGAAAAGAAAGTCCAGCTTCCCGAAGTCGCACTATACGGCCCCTATCAAACTCACTAAATTGACGAAATCGTACGGGTCTCCGTACTCTAGGCATCGTAACCGATCGTAAAGGACGTCAAGAACCAAAATCCGCCAACGTTGATTCTTTACTGCGGCTGAAATATTCATTTTTAGAGCGTTAGTGAATTAAAAAAAAGCAGTATAAAAACCGGAATGTCCAACTGACAAGGCTAAAATACATAAATACATTCACCAACTTTTATTAAAATAAAACCATTTAAAGTGGGTGTTCGGATTTATATGTCACTTAGTATAATTACAGTGATTATACAAAATTTTTAGGAAATCAAAAGGCGCATCTAGCAGTGACCTTGGATTTGACGTTCACCTTGAAGGTCATTGCAAGGGCAAGTTGATTTCATCATTTTTTTATTGCAGAAATAGAAAAACAAAAAATTCTTTTTCAACTCTATAGATACCACAAAGGCAAAAAATACATCTAGAGGTTATTTCAAGGTCAATTATTGCTCTTTTACGGAATGCTGTGAAGAAGAATAATAAGAAACCTTAACGCAAATATTGCAAGAAACCCAACAGTACATCTGATGGTGGCCTTCATTCTGACCTTGGCTATGACGTTGAAGGTCGATTCAAGGTCAAATTGATTTTTTTACAGGAAAACCCTAAATTTTGAGCCCAGCTTTGTGAATGGAAGAAAATATCATGTTCAAAGCTTCAATCCTAATTCAAGCTTCAATTTTTACGGATCACTCTATGATTTATCCAAATCCGTCAAATCATGTCTCAAGCACTATTGAGCCCATTATCAAAACCAACACCTTTTAAGCTTTGTTTATTCAAATTTCATTTTTAGTAGCTTATGTGACACAAAAGGGTTTTCAACTTGATTTTATTAGCATTTTACAAAATAATTTTAATAAATAAGACGTTGCATTGAATTAAATACAAGGGAATAATAAAAATTTAAATCCGACGCTGGAATTTTGGGTCCCGAAACATCTTCAGTTTAATTTTAAGAATTTTTTTGTGAAACATCGATAGACCAAGTTGATAACCCAATATATTTTGCTGATTAACTATCACCATTCTTTAACTTTTTTGGCGCATTGTCAAACATTTCAATAGTCAGCTTAAAAGGTGTTGTTTTTGATGAAAAAAAGTGAAAAACCGAGGCCGATCCTGGATTTTTAATTATAATAGTGTGAAATACGTGGATGAAGAATTTAGACCTTTTGTTACATGAGCTTGTTCAGCAGCAGTCGCGAGCCTAGATAAATGACTGCACGATCGACTGCACAACCTTGCATCTTGTTGGCTGACGAAGGCCAACTCAGAATTAATGCGCCCAATGAACAAAGAGTAAGTCCGAAACTGCATTCATGCGCAGATCTCGCGCTAGCTCTATCTCTCTTACTCCCCTACAGAGGGTCTATAAAAGAACTTATCAACCCTGACGGTCCTAATAGAGGTAATAGAAAACTGTCATCAAATTATTGCATTATCGGCGGTCCTTGATACGTTTGCGAAGTTTCAGATTAATCAAACTTCTACAAATTGGTGAAAATTATGCTCGAAGATTCCATTACATACATACACACAGGCCAAGCTGATAAAAGCGTGCTTAAAAATCTGGTTATTTTATGCGAACTAAGTCGTGGGTAACAGCTAGGTAGCAAAATTTAAATATTTCAAAATAATCTCATAACATCGATCAATAGAAAAAATCTATTAAATAATTATCAATTATACTTACTGATCAATGGTGTTTTTTCTGTTGGTGGCAACGTCTCTCTGATGGTCATCAAAAAGACAGTCATTGACAGAAGAGCACTGATTCCCAGAGTAACTTTTTCTCCAGATTCCGATGGTACGTAAAACACCAGCAAGGCTGGAACATGAAACATTCGATGCTCATTGGATAGAGATGAAGAGAAATAAGACACCACAAAGCGCCATCTGTTGCCAGAATGGCCCAACGAGAGAGTGTATAGCAACTGTCAATCGGAAAGATCCCAGTTCGCGTTTGACGATAATCATATTACTAATGTTCAAGCATTACATTTCCAATGATTTAATATATTTTTCTGTGAAAAAGTTGATAGTGTCAATCTGATTTAGTCCAAGGATTAATTTATATTATACCCAAAAGTATGAACACTCCCAAATATCTTGAAAACCAAGAGTGTTTGGAAAAAGCTTCAAGTGCAAAAGTATCAGGAAGTCAAATTGCGCATCTAGTGCTGATCTAGGATTTGACGTTAAATGTTGAAGGTCATTTTTAGGACAAGTTGGTTTTTCAAATAGGAACGCCCACTGTTTATTGCAGAAATAGAAAGACAAACAAATTTCATTTCCAACGGTATGGCTGTCATGAGGGCTAAAATTACATTTAGAGGTTATTTCAAGGTCAATTCTTGCTCCTTCATGGAGTGTTGTGAAGCAGAGGATAGCTGGAGCAAGAATCATATTAAAAAGTGGCACATCTAACGGTGACATTCATTTTGATCTTGTCTATGATCTTGAAGGTCAATCCAAGGTCAAATTGATTTTTTCACATGGGACCTCAATTTTGATCCCAAATGGAGAATCATTTCATGTTTAAATGTTGCTTCAGTCAAGTCAACAAAAATAGATCATTTGACGTTGACCTTGAGGTGTGATTTCATCTGCTTTAATTAAACCTTTGAACATGAAATGTTCCTCCATTTTTAGCGCTGGGACCCAAAATTGAGTGTTTCCATGTGAAAAAATGAATTTGACCTTGAATTGTCTTTCAAAGTCATAGCGAAGTTCAGAATGAAGGTCACCATCAGATGTGCCATTGGTTGTCCCACAATTTTTGCATTAAAGGTCCTTCCGTCTCCAGCTGTACAAGGTTTCACAACGCTCCATGAAAGAGCAACAGAAATCGAAAGTAAAAAAAACATTTCATCGATACCATGAGGGCTAAAATTACAACTAAAGGGTATTTCAAGGTCAATTCTTGCTCTTTCGTGGAATGTTGTGAAGCAGCAGATAGCTGTAAAAAGAAGCATACTAAAGAACGGCGCATCAGATGGTGACCGTCATTTTGACCTTGTCTATGACCTTGAAGGTCAATTCAATGTCGAGTTGATTTTTTTCACAAGGGAACCCTCAATTTTGATCCTAAATGGAGAAAAATTTCATGTTCGAATGTTGCTTCAGTCAAATCATTGAAAATAGGTCATTTGACCATGAAATGTTCCTCCATTTTTAGCGCTGGACCAAAATTGAGTGTTCCCATGTGAAAAAATGAATTTGACCTTGAATTGTCTTTTAAAGTCATAGCGAAGTTCAGAATGAAGGTCACCATCAGATGTGCCGTTGGTTGTCCTACAATTTTCGCATTAAAAGTCCTTCCTTCAAAGCTGCACGCGACTTCAGTACGCTCCATGAAAGAGCAACAGAGATAGAAAGTCAATAAAACTTCCTTATCAACGGTATCAATATCATAAGGGCTAAAATTACAACTAAAAGCTATTTCAAGGTCAATTCTTGCTCTTTCATGGAATATTCTGAAGGAGCGGATAGCTTTATATAGAAGCATAATAAAGAACGGCAAATCTGATAGCGAGCTTCATGTTGATCTTGCCTATGACCTTGAAGCTCAATTCAAGGTCAACTTAATTTTTTCACCTGGAAACCCTTAATTATAATTCCAAACGGAGAAACATTGGGGGTTCAAAGGTCGCTTAATCGCTAATCTAGGAAAATAGGTCATTTGACTCTATAGGTTGGATGTTACCTCCATTAGTTAAACCTTTTAACATGACATTTGTCTCCATTTTCAGCTCTAGGACTAAAAATTGACAGTTTCCATGTGAAAAAATTTACGTTGAACTGACTTTCAAGGTCATAGCCAAGATCAGGGTGAAGGTCACTAGCTATCCGCTGCTTCACAACCTTCCATGAAAGAGCAACAATTGACCTTGAAATAACCTCTAGATGTAATTTTAGCCCCTATGATTTTATACTGTTGAAAATACTTTTTTTGCTTCCTATTTGGAAAATCAACATTCAAGGTGAATGTCAACGTCAAATCCAAGGTCACCATTAGAGGCGTCATTTGATTTCCTAAAACTTTTGCTTTCAAAGTTTCTTTCTAGCACCCTGAGTTTCCGAGATGTCTGGGTTTGTTTATACTTTTAGGACACTCTGTTCAATGTATAATGATATAATAAGTCGAGATGTCTACGATAGGGTTACTTGTAAAAGCACGTCACTTACCAATGCCGTTGATCAAAATACACGGTAGGATCAGGTTGAAAACGTAAAAGAGTGGAAAGTAAAAAAAACATTTCATCGATACCATAAGGGCTAAAATTACAACTAAAGGTTATTTCAAGGTCAATTCTTGCTCTTTCGTGGAATGTTGTGAAGCAGCAGATAGCTGTAAAAAGAAGCATACTAAAGAACGGCGCATCAGATGGTGACCGTCATTTTGATCTTGTCTATGACCTTGAAGGTCAATTCAATGTCGAGTTGATTTTTTTCACAAGGGAACCCTCAATTTTGATCATAAATGGAGAAAAATTTCATGTTCGAATGTTGCTTCAGTCAAATCATTGAAAATAGGTCATTTGACCATGAAATGTTCCTCCATTTTTAGCGCTGGGACCAAAATTGAGTGTTCCCATGTGAAAAAATTAATTTGACTTTGAATTACCTTTCAAGGTCATTGCCAAGGTCAGAATGAAGGTCACCATCATATGTGCCATTGGTTGTCCTACAATTTTTGCATTAAAGGTCCTTCCGTCTCCAGCTGTACGAGGTTTCACAACGCTCCATGAAAGAGCAACAGAAATCGAAAGTAAAAAATACATTTCATCGATACCATAAGGGCTAAAATTACAACTAAAGGTTATTTCAAGGTCAATTCCTGCTCTTTCGTGGAATGTTGTGAAGCAGCAGATAGCTGTAAAAAGAAGCATACTAAAGAACGGCGCATCAGATGGTGACCGTCATTTTGATCTTGTCTATGACTTTGAAGGTCAATTCAATGTCGAGTTGATTTTTTTCACAATGGAACCCTCAATTTTGATCCTAAATGGAGAAAAGTTTCATGTTCTAATGTCGCTTCAGTTAAATCATTGAAAATAGGTCATTTGACCATGAAATGTTCCGCCATTTTTAGCGCTTGGACCAAAATTGAGTGTTCCCATGTGAAAAAATGAATTTGACATTGAATTGTCTTTCAAAGTCATAGCGAAGTTCAGAATGAAGGTCACCATCAGATGTGCCGTTGGTTGTCCTACAATTTTTGCTTTAAAGGTCCTTCCGTCTCCAGCTGTACGAGGTTTCACAACGCTCCATGAAACAGCAACAGAAATCGAAAGTAAAAAAAACATTTCATCGATACCATAAGGGCTAAAATTACAACTAAAGGTTATTTCAAGGTCAATTCTTGCTCTTTCGTGGAATGTTCTGAAGCAGCAGATAGCTGTAAAAAGAAGCATACTAAAGAACGGCGCATCAGATGGTGACCGTCATTTTGATCTTGTCTATGACCTTGACGGTCAATTCAATGTCGAGTTGATTTTTTCACAAGGGAACCCTCAATTTTGATCCTAAATGGAGAAAAATTTCATGTTCGAATGTTGCTTCAGTCAAATCATTGAAAATAGGTCATTTGACCATGAAAATGTTCCTCCATTTTTAGCGCTGGGACCAAAATTGAGTGTTCCCATGTGAAAAAATTAATTTGACCTTGAATTGTCTTTCAAAGTCATAGCGAAGTTCAGAATGAAGGTCGCCATCAGATGTGCCGTTGGTCGTCCTACAATTTCTGCATTAAAGTTCCTTCCGTCTCCAGCTGTACGAGGTTTCACAACGCTCCATGAAAGAGCAACAGAAATCGAAAGTAAAAAAAAACATTTCATCGATACCATAAGGGCTAAAATTACAAGTAAAGGTTATTTCAAGGTCAATTCTTGCTCTTTCGTGGAATGTTGTGAAGCAGCAGATAGCTGTAAAAAGAAGCATACTAAAGAACGGCGCATCAGATGGTGACCGTCATTTTGATCTTGTCTATGACCTTGAAGGTCAATTCATTGTCGAGTTGATTTTTTTTCACATGGGAACTCTGAATTTTGATCCTAAATGGAGAAAAAATTCATGTTCGAATGTTACTTCAGTCAAATCATTGAAAATAGGTCATTTGACCATGAAATGTTCCTCCATTTTTAGCGCTGGGACCAAAATTGAGTGTTCCCATGTGAAAAAATGAATTTGACCTTGAATTGTCTTTCAAAGTCATAGCGAAGTTCAGAATGAAGGTCACCATCAGATGTGCCGTTGGTTGTCCTACAATTTACGCATTAAAAGTCCTTTTTTCAAAGCTGTACGCGGTTTCAGTACGCTCCATAAAAGAGCAACAGAAATAGAACGTCAATAAAACTTCCTTTTTAACGGTATCAATATCATAAGGGCTAAAATTACAACTAAAGGTTATTTCAAGGTCAATTCTTGCTCTTCCATGGAATATTCTGAAGGAGCGGATAGCTTTATATAGAAGCATATTAAAGAACGGAAAATCTGATAGCGACCTTCATGTTGATCTTGTCTATGACCTTGAAGGTCAATTCAAGGTCAACTTAATTTTTTCACCTGGAAACTCTTAATTTTGATCCCAAATGGAGAAACATTGAGGGTTCAAAGTTCTCTTAATCGCTAATCTACGAAAATATGTCATTTGACTCTATAGGTGGGATTTTACCTCCGTTAGTTAAACCTTTTAACATGATATTTGTCTCCATTTGCAGCTCTAGGACCAAATATTGACTGTTTCCATGTGAAAAAATAAATTTTACGTTGAACTGACTTTCAAGGTCACAGCCAAGGTCAGGGTGAAGGTCACTATCAAATGTGCTGTTTGGTTTTTGCAGCTATCCGCTGCTTCACAACCTTCCATGAAAGAGCAACAATTGACCTTGAAATAACCTCTAGATGTAATTTTAGCCCCTATGATTTTATACTGTTGAAAATAATTGTTATGCTTCCTATTTGGAAAAATCAAGTTTCAAGGTGAATGTCAACGTCAAATCCAAGGTCACCGTTAGAGGCGTTATTTGATTTCCTAAAACTTTTGCTTTCAAAGTTTCTTTCTAGCACAATGAGTTTCCGAGATATTTGGGTTTGTTTATACTTTTAGGACACTCTGTTCAATGTATAATGATATAATAAGTCGAGATGTCTACGATAGGATTACTTGTAACAGCATGTCACTTACCAATGCCGTTGATCAAAATACACGGTAGGATCAGGTTGAAAACGTAAAAGAGTGGAAAGTAAAAAAAACATTTCATCGATACCATAAGGGCTAAAATTACAACTAAAGGTTATTTCAAGGTCAACTCTTGCTCTTTCGTGGAATGTTGTGAAGCAGCAGACAGCTGTAAAAAGAAGCATATTAAAGAACCGCGCATCAGATGGTGACCGTCATTTTGATCTTGACTATGACCTTGAAGGTCAATTCAATGTCGAGTTGATTTTTTTCACAAGGGAACCCTCAATTTTGATCCTAAATGGAGAAAAATTTCTTGTTCGAATGTTGCTTCAGTCAAATCATTGAAAATAGGTCATTTGACCATGAAATGTTCCTCCATTTTTAGCGCTGGACCAAAATTGAGCGTTCCCATGTGTAAAAATGAATTTGACCTTGAATTGTCTTTCAAAGTCATAGCGAAGTTCAGAATGAAGGTCACCATCAGATGTGCCGTTGGTTGTCCTACAATTTTCGCATTAAAAGTCCTTCCTTCAAAGCTGCACGCGACTTCAGTACGCTCCATGAAAGAGCAACAGAGATAGAAAGTCAATAAAACTTCCTTATCAACGGTATCAATATCATAAAGGCTAAAATTACAACTAAAAGTTATTTCAAGGTCAATTCTTGCTCTTCCATGGAATATTCTGAAGGAGCGGATAGCTTTATATAGAAGCATATTAAAGAATGGCAAATCTGATAGCGACCTTCATGTTGATCTTGTCTATGACTTTGAAGTTCAATTCAAGGTCAACTTAATTTTTTCACCTGGAAACCCTTAATCTTAATTCGAAATGGAGAAACATTGGGGGTTCAAAGGTCGCTTAATCGCTAATCTAGGAAAATTGACTCTATAGGTTGGATTTTACCTCCGTTAGTTAAACCTTTTAACATGACATTTGTCTCCATTTTAAGCTCTAGGACCAAAAATTGACGGTTTCCATGTGAAAAAATAAATTTTACGTTGAACTGACTTTCAAGGTCATAACCAAGATCAGGCTGAAGGTCACTATTAAATGTGCTGTTTGGTTTTTGCAGCTATCTGCTGCTTCACAACTTTCCATGAAAGAGCAACAATTGACCTTGAAATAACCTCTAGATGTAATTTTAGCCCCTATGATTTTATACTGTTGAAAATAATTGTTTTGCTTCCTATTTGGAAAAATCAAGTTTCAAGGCGAATGTCAACGTCAAATCCATGGTCACCATTAGAGGCGTCATTTGATTTCCTAAAACTTTTGCTTTCAAAGTTTCTTTCTAGCACCCTGAGTTTCCGAGATGTCTGGGTTTGTTTATACTTTTAGGACACTCTGTTCAATGTATAATGATATAATAAGTCGAGATGTCTACGATAGGATTACTTGTAAAGGCACGTCACTTACCAATGCCGTTGATCAAAATGCACGGTAGGATCAGGTTGAAAACGTAAAAGAGTGGTCTTCGCCTTAACTGGATCGTGTAAGTGATATCCGGGTAAGGTTCGGGACAACAAGAGTAGAATTCGATGTTCTTCACCGATGAAAAGCCGAGCAGATCAAACTCGCCATTAGCTTGGTAATTGCTTACATCGCCTTCTTCGGTTTGCTTTACTAGCTCCACCTGGGGAAAATTTGTGGATCGTTCACGTGACAATAGGCATATGAGTATACGTTCATTAATTTAAGAAAAATCGGGTTGTACGTAGAACTCTCATATGCAAAGTCTGAAAAAAAATGCTCAGGGTGAGCAATAGGTTTTTGAGCAAAGTCAAGAAACTTAGTGTTACGGTTTTACATACCATATAATCATAATTCAACCTTTTTCTAAATTCAGTTGCACGTCTATGTTCGTTCAATTTCAGTTAGGCAAGATCACGTGAAAAACCTATAAAACGTCAAAAAAACCGCCTTTCTGAAGACACGTTATGTTCAAAGTTATAAATTACGATTTTTCCCGTTTTTTACGTTTTCAAAATATCTGAGAAGCAATACGAAAAATCACGTAGCATAAATATTCCTGAGTATTCCATGTTTTCTCACCTGTTAGTTTTAATATACTTCATTAACCAGGGATTTTCTTTTCTTGCTCTTTTTTTTAAATTCAGCAAATTTACATATGTTATTTCCAGGTTGAATCAGAAATAAATAATAGTTTAATTAAAATAAAAAAACACGCTTTTATATCAAACCGAACTAGAAATTAGAAAATAATTTTTAATTACAAAGAGTTTATTTACAGTAGTAGATGGTCGAACAATCAATCTTAATTAATGATCTCAAAACATACTAAGTGACATATAAATCCGAACACCCAGTTTAAATGGTTTTATTTTAATAAAAGTTGGTGAATGTATTTATCTTACTGTAAATAACAAGTGAAAAAATTTTCAGCCTTATCAGTTGGACATTCCGGTTTTTATACTGCTTTTTTTTAATTCACTAACGCTCTAAAAATGAATATTTCAGCCGCAGTAAAGAATCAACGTTGGCGGATTTTGGTTCTTGACATCCTTTACGATCGGTTACGATGCCTAGAGTACGGAGACCTGTACGATTTCGTCAACTTAGTGAGTTTGATAGGGGCCGTATAGTGGGACTACGGGAAGCTGGACTTTCTTTTCGGGCAATTGCAGTTAGAGTGCAAAGAAGCGTAGACACTGTGGTTAGGTGTTGTCAGGCATGGCTTCGAGAAGTCCGTACGCAAAGAGCAAAGGGCACTGGACGCCGCCGTAGAACAACAGACCGTGAAGATCGCCGCCTAAGATTATTGGCCTTAAGGGACGGTTTCTCCACTACCAGGTCCATTGCAAATGAATGGTTTGCAGAACACGGAGGACCTATTGGCATCCGAAGTGTTTACCGACGAATGAAAAGTTTTGGCTTGTTTTCATACCGGCCACACTGGGTCCTCCCTTTAACTCGAGAACACCGACGTAATCGCCTTGAGTGGTGCAGACAACGGTCACTCTGGGATCAGGAATGGAACAGTATTGTCTTTAGTGACGAGTCTCGATTTTGTTTAGGCATGCACGATGGTCGTGCCAGGGTTAGAAGGCGACGTGGTGAAAGGAGAAATACACATTTGTTTGTTGAAAGACATGTTCATCACACTGTTGGAGTTATGGTTTGGGGTGCTATAGCTTATGGTTCCAGGTCACCTTTAATCTTCATCAGAGGTAACATGAACGCGCAGCGTTATATCCACGAAGTTCTAGAACCCCATCTTTTACCCTATCTTGACACCCTGGCAGACCCAACTTTCCAACAAGATAATGCTCGACCACATGTTGCAAGAGTCACAATAGACTTCTTTCAACATAATGATGCCACATTGTTACCATGGCCACCAAGATCTCCCGACTTATCCCCAATTGAGCACGTGTGGGATATGATGGGTAGGAGATTGCTCAAGTTGCAACGTCCTCCTCAGACTCTAGAAGCACTTCGAGAGGAGTTGGTGGTTGCCTGGAATGAGATACCACAGGAGGACATTACCACCTGATCAGAAGCTTGCCTAGGCGCGTTGGAGAATGCGTAGCACATCAGGGTGCATCCACACATTATTAAAGGTCAAAGGGCTTTAAAGCAGTGCAATCATTTTGAAATTTTTATCATTTACTTATTATGCTTCATTAAGTACTTATACAAAATTTTATTAAAATAAAACCATTTAAACTGGGTGTTCGGATTTATATGTCACTTAGTATAATTCTACTGGAGTAATAAAGAAGCTAGCGCATTTTTTTTTCAAACTTATTCATCGTTACGGGGCGAAGCCCGCTCATTTAGAAAAGTCGACAAATATTGCGCTTAATACATCAACGAGTGATCAGATGATGGAATCTAGGATATTTAGATATTAGCTGCATCTATGAGATTTTTATGTAGGTGGAAATAAGCGAAAAGCAACGTCTGCCATGACTTATTTTAACGAAAATATTAAGGTATATGTATATTAATATAGCCGTATGCGCAAAACAAGTTATATGTCAGCAGTTAACTACAAAACGGGCAGTTTGCTTTCATATGCAAATCACTTTGTTGTTGCATACTAAAATAATACCTGAAAACAAAACGGAATCTGTATCCACGTATAATGGAAATGTACCGTGTGTTCCAAATTCGTCTATCTCTCTCTATTTGGATCCTAGAAACGGCAAACATTACGAAATAGGTTCAGCTACGGCAGAATAATGTCCAACATAATAATGTCTGTCTGTTCGCTAATTCTTGACCAGTAGGGTGGCCCAAAAATGAAAGTTCTTTTTTTCAAACGGATACCCTCTATTTTTTCCTTTGACTCTAAAAAATTAATATTATTGCGATCGGGAACTATAACCCATGCCGACTTTCGGTCAAACTTTGAATTTGAATGTTAATAGGGCAACCATGTATTATGGATTTCAAAATCTAATTCTTACTCGACAAATAAAACACTGCTTTATTTGTATCTTATATTTCTTAGATATTTATCATTAAAAGAACTAACTTCTCTTTCTAAAGTTTTTTTTTTCAGTCAGGATATGAAGGGTGGCCATCCGTTGTTTTTTTTTAAATTGGCATTAAAACTACACTCCTCAATAATATGTAACACTCGATACTTTATTTAAAATAATACACCTTCCAATTATTTATGAAAAACAAATTTCAGTTAATTGGTTGCCGCGGCTAGCCTAGCAGTAGTCCATCCTCTTAACCCAATTTTGAAGCACATTTTTGGTAGTTTGTGGGTATGTTTCATCAATAACTTGACAGATATTTTTCCTTAGGAACATCAATTCGTACCGAAAAGCGAAAGGGGCGCGCAGAAGCCATAAAGCTTGATTTCCAAAGCGAGCTATCGGATACTGTAACTGTCCTCTGGGATGGCAAATTGTTGCTACCTTTAAATGCAAGCGAGTCTAAAAAATAACGTCTACCGATTATTGTAACGTATGAAAATAAAGAGCAAATTGGATAATTCTTCAGGCAGCGAGCAGGCTCAGGTAGTTTCGGTTGCTATTATTAACTGAAATCTTGAAGATAAAGTTCAGAACTTCTGTTGTGATACTATTGCTCCAAATACGGGTCGCATTAACGGTACCCGCGTGCTTCTCGAACAGAAACTTAATAAAGAAATGACCAGACTGTAACTTGGAAAGTAACCCTTTTGTTCAATGCCATCGTTGCCACCTGCCGTACTTGGGTATTCAAAGCTAGAATGTTACCGATAATGAAGTTTACACTAGTAACAACCAACCAGAAATAGTCGTGTTTTTGTAGTTTGTGTGATCCGCGTCCAACTGTAATGTAAACTGATGCTTTCAAAGGGAAAGCCGGTTGAAAGGGTAGAGCGGATGATATCCCTTGGGGGAAATACCGGGTCGATTTTACAAATTAAGGTTCTTTTGCACTCACACTTTGCTGGTTCTCATCCGTATGTTTTTTTAGACGGACTGTTGAGTCTTGTGATGAAGACAATTGCGAAATGCATAGTAAATTATTATACTAAGTGACATATAAATCCGAACACCCAGTTTAAATGGTTTTATTTTAATAAAACTTTGTATAAGTACTTAATGCAGCATAATAAGTAAATGATAAAAAATTCAAAATGTTGCACTGCTTTAAAGCCCTTTGACCTTTAATAATGTGTGGATGCACCCTGATGTGCTACGCATTCTCCAACGCGCCTAGGCATGCTTCTGATCAGGTGGTCAATGTCATCCTGTGGTATCTCATTCCAGGCAACCACCAACTCCTCTCGGAGTGCTTCTAGAGTCTGAGGAGGACGTTGCAAATTGAGCAATCTCCTACCCATCATATCCCACACGTGCTCAATTGGGGATAAATCGGGAGATCCTGGTGGCCATGGTAACAATGTGACATCATTATGTTGAAAGAAGTCTATTGTGACTCTTGCAACATGTGGTCGAGCATTATCTTGTTGGAAAGTTGGATCTGCCAGGGTGTCAAGATAGGGTAAAAGATGGGGTTCTAGAACTTCGTGGATATAACGCTGCGCGTTCATGTTACCTCTGATGAAGAGTAAAGGTGACCTGGAACCATAAGTTATAGCACCCCAAACCATAACTCCAACAGTGTGATGAACATGTCTTTCAACAAAAAACTGTGATTCCTCCTTTCACCACGTCGCCTTCTAATCCTGGCACGACCATCGTGCATGCCTAAACAAAATCGAGACTCGTCACTAAAGACAATACTGTTCTATTCCTGATCCCAGAGTGACCGTTGTCTGCACCACTCAAGGCGATTACGTCGGTGTTCTCGAGTTAAAGGGAGTACCCAGTATGGATGGTATGAAAACAAGCCAAAACTTCTCATTCGTCGGTAAACACTTCGCATGCCAACCAATAGGTCTTCCGTGTTCTGCAAACCATTCATTTGCAATGGACCTGGTAGTGGAGAAACGGTCCCTTAAGGCCAATAATCTTAGGCGGCGATCTTCACGGTCTGTTGTTCTACGGCGGCGTCCAGTGCCCCTTGCTCTTTGCGTACGGCCTTCTCGAAGCCATGCCTGACAATACCTAACCACAGTGTCTCCACTTCTTTGCACTCTAACTGCAATTGCCCGAAAAGAAAGTCCAGCTTCCCGAAGTCCCACTATACGGCCCCTATCAA